AATACAGCCTGCAAAAGGTCAACGAACTCAGCTCAACCACCAGGATGTGTGAACAGTTCACACAATGAACATGCTAATCACCCCCAGAGCCACTCCTTAACAACTCAATAGAAGAAAAAACCCTGCCTAACCCCCAGGAAGATACACACACATTCTGACACCAAAACAGCCACTCGTTAACCTAACCCCCCCAATCCCTCCCCCTTCAGAACTCTATAAATACCCACAAAAGGATCACATCATCCTGGGCACAGAGAGAACTGCTGTCTGTGGTCCTGCACTCTAAAGATGCCGGTCACAGATGCTGGTGAAACGTTAGGAAACAAAACTTCCAGAACACGGCCACACAGCCCGAAAGACTTGGAAGTTAATTAAAAAGATCCTCTTGTGTGGGAAAGAACTTTATGTTTACGTTTGGTCCTGATAACAAAGTCTTGAAGTTTAATCACTAGAGAGCACCAGATGGCCACTTTAAAGGAAACATATTGGCTCAAGAAATCCTAGGAATAATTAACCTTATACTGGAAGCAAAAGTTGCTACCGAAGAGAACCAAGTTCCTTGGAATAACTGAAATGGATTTTAAGGTGGACTTAAAAATTATAACTAATTAAACTAATAATTAAAAAAATAATTATAAAGAAAGATGGAAATATTGGATTTACAAATGGAATTGGATGATCATTTGAAAATTAAAAAATATACAAATAATATACCAAAAGAGGGATGTGGATTACCCGTTTAAATTGGAATGTAAGAGACTTATAGGAGTGGCTACATTGAAAATACATATGGACTTTGATAAAGATGACAAGGATTTAGAAAGAAAAGACAAAAATAATAGAAAAAGATGTTAGAATTTAATCTATGGAATTTAAGCATTGATGGGAAGAAGAAAAAATATAAAACTGATTTATTTGACTAGGGTTAAGTAATGGTTTGTTATTTTTGGTGATGCCTAATGGTTACTTTGACTGGATAACTCTTTTGGAATGTCCAATTGGGTGTAATGGATTAGTTTGTAATATCTGTGTTACTATTTTTGGTATACAAATAAAGGATTATTATTTCTGGTAATGTTTAATCGTTTTTTGGGTTTAATTTTTTTGTAATGTTTAATTGTCATTTGGGTTTACTTATGGATTTTTATAATATTTAATCGTCAATTGGGATGAGATTTTGATTATTAAGAGAGGGATTAGGGGGATTATGTTTAAATGGAAAGGGGGCTAAATGCTTATGTTGCTAGTTATATCTGTTAATCTTGATGCCCTTTGTTGATTAATAAGGAGAGCTGAGGATTTAGAGATGGGGTTATAGAAAATGGGGTGAAGTTGGGAATGAAGATGTATTTTAAGAGACAGTGATTGTTAATGTTGTATATATTTGCTGAGGATGAAGGGAAGTTTCTTCTTATTACATTTTTTTTTTGGTGGAGGATTTTTTTTCTTTTTCCTTGCACTGTCCTTTTTTTTAAATCTATTTTTGTATTTGATTTTTGTATTAGTGTTATCTGTTTTATATAATCTTCAATTATTTTAAAAAAAGGATCTATTTCCCTGAGGAGTCAGAGCTCTTTGTTCATTCAAGTGCCAACCCCCCAACCGATATCCCAGCCCCTCCCTTTATTCATAGGATAGAATTCTTTATTACAGGTGAAACTCGAAAAATTAGAATATCGTGCAAATGTTCATTTATGTCAATATGGCAA